TATATATATATATATATATATATATAAAATACAATTCCGATTTGTTTTTCTCAGAATTGTGAGTTTATATCTGAGAATCTCAGAAATGCGAGAACAAAACTTACAATTACATTTTTGTTTTTCATTCTCGTGGCGGAAACAAGCTTCCATAGTAACCTGTTTGTGTAAGTTCTCAATCATTTCAGATGTCGACTACACCTTTATTTTTGCGTGATTGTAGCTTATAATAAAGTCTGCAGTGGTCTTTTCCAGTTTTTCACATTGAAAAACAATTGTTTATTCAAACGGTCACCTTCATGAACGTAGAGGAATTGTCCGTATTGTACAAAGAAAAGGGTAACAATTTACAAATACAAAATGCTGACAAAGGATATGCACTCATTTCTTGGATGGCAAACAAGTAGTTGTACATGAAAAAAAAAGAAAAGAAAATCAAACAACAATGCAATGTCATACAAAGAACATCATTGTAGGCCAAACCTCTGAACGGTTCGTCATCCGATCAGTTTGTGGAGTAAAATCGATGTCCTTTATATCTCTGAATCACAGTGTAATGCCATGAACAAAAGACATCACCATTTTATCGAAAAGAAATCTATATACATTGATAATGTTAATTCCGTAATGCACACGAATAGTAAAAGTTTACAGTCAAAAAAAGTAAAATCTGCCCTCATATTTTGACTAAAAAAATAGAAATTAATATCTCTAAGTGTAGCCTAATACTTTTCCCTTTTAAAAACAATAAAATGCCTTGCGCTCGACCTGTTCTGCTTTTCTAGCTTGCTGTAGAAAACCGCATTAGGGTTTTTGTTACTAGGTTATTTAAGGTCATTTATCAAAATTATATTCTTTCAATTTAGACTTTTACACTGGGAGCTGCCAAAGTTGTTGTTTTGGGTAACAGTGCGTCGTACGACGTTGGGTGGTTTGTCAAGCCACAAAGCAAGCCTTAGCATATCCAAGTTCAGCTTAATTAAAAATAAAAATAAAAGAATATCATTCACATATACCAATACAGTAAAACCGAGCCAAGCATTGAGCCAAAGATGTGCTAACCTGTCCAGAAATCTGTACAATAGGCTCCAGTATTTTGAGGATGTTGGGTGAAAAACAATCCGGTCCAGGGAGTTTGTTGGCCAGGTTTGGCTTGGAGGATACTTAGGTTTGTGCAAGGCACTATGGATCAACCAGGGGGCGCTCAATTTATTCCCCGAAACACATTTGAGAGGCAACGAAAGATGCGAAATGCTTTAGAGATGCACGACTGGCATCCAAAAGCATCGTTTTTGCAGTTTTCCATCCGTTTTTCTCGTACGATTAAGCTAGCCGTGGATAAAATTGACGCTCCTCCGATAAACAAAACCCAACGCTCACATCTCCCTGAGGAAAATAAAACGTTTCTATGGCACATAGGATTGTCCGCGAGAGTATTTATGAACGCATGTGTAAGGAGAGGCAAGTGAAGTCCGTGTTTACTATAAACTATGGCATTGATAGAAATTTTCACAGTAGAAAACACATGGAACAAAAAAAAAAGACATTGACAATCACATTTGGTGCAAACAAACCAAAAAAAAACCAGTGAACAAGTTTTTGTATGTGAAACTACTTAACTCGGGGCATCAGAAAGTTTGTTCGGTAAGATACTGCAGTGAGCGAAGAAGAGCTGTTTCACCTAGTGAATCACAAATGGGTGTACGCTCACTGTAACTACATAACGTTAGCCCCCCCCCAAAAAAAAATCGCAAAATGTTTTGTGACCGTTTTTGCGCATAGAACTGTGATTCAGTAGTCTCTCAGGAAGTGACTTGAAAGGTTAAATTGAGCTTAAATCACAGAAAACATACATACTAAAATGTTTCCGAATTAACAAGTGGCTTTACGAAAAATATCGTATTATTCAAATAAGTGCTTCATGTAATAGACAAAGAAATAAAACTCTATAATACCTCATTCAGATTAGCAGAGCCAAACAATGTACCGTAAATTAAAAAACAGTTTTTCCGCACACCTAAGGTTGTACCTTAGTGATACTCTTTTTCGTACACTTTTTCATTTGGATAAACTTTCGTTTTATCTAATTTTTCACAACTAAACTGCTCTGCGTAATTCAAACGACTCGAAAGAAAGACATCGCCTGTTAAAGTGAATCTTTGGGTTCTAAGCTTTCTCCAAAATCAAATAAAGGAGAGCAAGGGAAGTGATCCGTAATCATAATTGCTTGAGAGAGAAACAAAGGCTAGTGGCCGAATTTGGGATTGTGGACATGGTTTTTGCTGCCCCAAAACAAGCCTGTTAAAGAAATTCAAACAACTAAAGAGAGATGCACTTGGCTCTAAAACATTTCTAACAACATACTGAGGTAGACTGTGTCCAAACAACCAACAGAAAGACATTAGCGCTAATAAACCATGCAACTGCGTTCGTGACCTCGCCAACTGTTACTCTCTTTAAACAAAAAATAAACAACTAAACGACTAGTTTTACCAGCCTTAGAGTATTGTAATAAAAGCTAACAGGGATTTACATAATTATGAGGATTATAAAATAAATAAAATATCAATATTTGCCTTTTCAAAGATATGTAATCTTGTTATTTAGGGGGAAAAAATCTGCTCACTGCTACAGAAAAAAAAAAGAAAAAGATTTTCTTTGTAATAGTGTAAGAAAAGCTACAAGCAAGTTTGATTTCTTTGATTCTGCTATGTACATTTAAAATTAAGCCAATGGGACCAAGAAAGGGAACATTTATGTTAAAAGGCTACGGTAAGGTGAGAGCCAGGTGAGAAAAAAAGAAAAAAAACATGAAATGGCAAACACGCTTACTAAAGCTTACGTGTGAATTTTAGCCTCGTTCTGTCGTTTCCCTCCCAAACTACCCACAAATAAATATACATACACACAAATATGCACGCACACACAGGAAATGTGCACATTTTTGATGATGACAAGTAAGATCCAGTAAAAGCGCCATCTCTCTTGCCTCTGGCGATCGGAGAAGGCACAAAGTTGAGGAATTGAGCATCTGCCTACCAAAGCTGTCTGCGTTTTATCTTTAAAGGATTATTTGGGAAAAAGCGGCATCATTCTGACAGAGAAGGAAGTTTACTTTCCCTGTGGTCTTCTAAGACTTCCCTTTCTCAGAACTAGAGCGTAAACGTCTTTATTATGCGAAGCTGTGCGAGAACTACACTCACTTTTGATACTTTAACAGGTACCGGAGCCTGATCGTGGATAAATTACAGGAATGTTTTAATGATCCAATTTAAATATTACCAGGTCGAATATTTCTGCTGTCGAAAAACGAACAACCTAGAATCCCTCGGTAAAGCATATCTTTCACAGTAACATCCTAAATCCACCAGAAAAATCAGGTAAATAGTAAATCGAGTCAAAAACAACCTCTCATATCCCACAGAAAAAAAACAAAAAACACTCCGAAACATTCCCAAAATATTCTCCACAACAGCTTTTGGAATCCCAAAGATGTCACAGAGGAACATCCTACAAAATCCAATTTATGACAGAAAATTTGAATGTTTATTCCCTTGAATTGAGCAATCAAATATTTGTATTTTTAAATAATAATAACAATAATATTTAATTATTATTATTATTATTCCGAAATGAAATCAGTTGAATTTAGGCCAAACCAACAACGCTCCCCACTGTATGCTGGAACATCACTGAGTCAACTTGCATGTTAATTAATGAGAGTTTTTTTTTTGGGTTGGACATAAAAAAACAGCTCATAAAAAGAGACAGTTGCAAAAAATATTGTTTAAGCAAAGCTGATGAAGACATTAGAAAAAGACATTAGAATTATGTACAAAAGTTCAAATGTTGTGAATAGTATATTTAAAATACTGATACCAATCAATATTTATATATATAAAAAATCAAATACCCACTATATATCAGAGCAGCAGCTATTGGTCAGTCTGAGGAACTCTTTTGTCCAATTCATAACTGTTAAATATCCTTCAGCCGGTAAAAAGGACACAGGAGTAAAAAAATAAAGCAAATAAATTAAACCTCATTCACCAGAACACCGTGTGAATATCATCTATGTGAATTCAGGAATTCTCCAGGACAAAATAAAAGTCAATCCTCTACAAAACAAAAGTTTGTTCTAAAAGAATATAAGCCATCCCATAGTTCCACACTGTAAAGTCATTGTTCTAAAGAAATTAACACAAGCATTGATAGACACTTCTCTTTTTATAGGCCACTTAATAAAAGGCCACTATCTTAAAAGATTTCCACTTTTTAAAAAAATAGAGAAAGAGACAGGAAATAAGCATCCAAGGGAGAAGGAAGTGGACTTTGAGGTGACGTAGCCGAAGCAGCTTTTCTGGTTGATTTAGTCATGTTCACAGTTTGCTTTTCCCCACCGCCCAACCAAACTGTCTTGGAAACTTGGCAAAAGTGTAAAAGTGTCAAAAAGCAAATGGTGCGTCGGATGATGGGCGAAATAACGTCCGTTTTCGTTGTAACCATACTAGTGTCGTTGTAACAACAACAGCAACAAAAAAGACCTGAGATCTGTATCTTTAAGGGCCTCTGCAAAAATAACACAATTAAAAACTTTTCTTTAAAAAAAAAAACGAAGAGAAAAAGCCGAAGCAAACGTTAGGACGGACTAGATCTGGGTAGAGACAGAATTCGGCCGTTTTTCTTTCCACCGTTCATATGCGTATAGGGCATGTGCTCCTCGTAATTGCCCCGTAGGCCCACCGAGGGGCCGTTGTCTCTACTGAGGCTCTCCTCGCGTTGGGAATAGGATGAGGGGTCCAGTGGTATGCTCTCCATGTTCTCGAAGTCCATGTCGAAGTCCTCGCTCTCAGGAGGTTTGTTCTCCTCGCTGTAGAAGAAGGAGACCTCTTGGAAAGTAGGATGCAGGTCCTCCTTGATCATCTCGATGATCTCGAGGAAGGTGGGCCGCATCTTCGGGTTGTACTGCCAACACATCTGCATGAGGTTGTGCCTGAGAGAAGAGTTAGAGCGAGAGAAGACAATCTTAAACCACATAAACCTCATTCTCCATGTGTCTCCATGATGGGTACAGAAACAAGAATGTATTTTTTTTTCATTTGTCAGATTGTTACATTTAATCAATAAGTTCAATTAGAACAATACGATAAGAAGCTGCATCTTAAGTGGCATTTAGATGTATTTACAGCCCAGAGGTGTCTTGAAAGTGAGTGACATACTCGATATTGTCAGATACAATATTATCATAGAAGACAGATATAGTACAATATCATACATACTTGGATTTTTGAATTCTAGAAAAATATCTACGTGGCTTGTTTTCTGCTGAAAGATCAGATTATATTTCATTTTGGATAGGGATATACCAAAAAAAAAAAAAAAGAAATCGTTGACTGAAACAACGCCGAAAAACGAAATCATGAACAGCATAAGTTCAAATACCCAGTAACCCAAATTGAATTAATGAAACTTTTGTTTTTTTCAGCTAAATGAAACCTTCAATTTCTGTTTTTCAGTAAAAAGAATAAAAAATATATGCACTTGTTTTGGATACTGGATGCCAACAAGGAACGTCAACAGCAAAACTTACTTAGTCAACCAAGAAAGGACTGACATGCTTTCTTGCTGAAAAGATCAGGATACATTGCGTTTTCAATTGTGATGCACTAAATTTCAGAAACCAGAAATATTTGGTTGAAAAAGCAAAAAAGAATGTCATTTTCACTTTCAGCCAAAATGGCTTTGGAGACTGAAATCATTAACTAAAATAATGCTGAATAACTTTACTACTTCTGGTTTATCATCTAAGAACACAAAATACTAGATAGCATGTTTTCAATTAACTAAATTTACTTTTTTTTTTTTTTACCTAAATAACCTAAATTCACTAAATTAGGATACTGGAAGCCAAAAATGGACATCAACAGGTTTCTTAACTTGCTAAGCCATTCAAACTTACTCGGTCAACCAGCTACAAATGATGGTCTAATATGGTCTTAGCAAGGTTTATCTCTACATCGGTACTTACATTCTCTCTGGACAGTTCTCCGGTCTGTCCAGGTAGCCTCCGTCCATGACAAACTTGAGCACTTGCTCGTTGGACAGTCCCTGGTAAGGCTGCTCGGCAAGTGTGCTGATCTCCCATAATACCACTCCGAAAGACCTAAGAGTCAACAGAATTTTTATTACAGCACTGCCAGCTCATTATGCTGGGTGTGTATTTATTTTGGTGGACCCTCTGTCTTGTAACCCAAGAATGTCCAATCCTGCTCTTAGAGCGCCAATGTCAACCAGCTTCAACACACTTGCTTGGAAGTTTATAGTAATCCTGAAGACCTTGATTAGCTGGTTCAGGTGTGTTTAAGCAAGATAATGGCCCTCCAAGAACAGGATTGGACACCCAAAAGGACTAGCAAAGCACTTCTTGACTAGCTTCTTATAGGGGATCTGAATGTTCTTCTAGACACCTGGTTAGCAAAAAATTACAAAGAAACCCCAAAATATACCCACCAGCAGTCTGAGTGAGCGGTGAAAACGCCATCTTTTAGGGACTCTGGCGCCATCCATCTGACAGGCAATAAGCCCTTTCCACCCTTGCGATAGTAATCAGTCTCGTAGATGTCTCGTGTCATACCAAAATCTGAAACAAAAAAACGAAATCAAGATTTTTCGTCCTTCGAATCCTGAGTTTCACACTAAATATGCTTGATTCTGGTCTTCTTACCTCCAATTTTCACAGTGAGATCTTCAGCCACCATGCAGTTTCTGGCAGCGAGGTCTCTGTGGACGAACTTCTTAGCGTTGAGGTACGCCATGCCATCTGCTATCTCAGCTGCCATTTGGATCATCTCCTTCAGGGTTGGCGGTGGACGACCTGGGTTATTCTGTTAAAAAAAAAAAAAAATTAAATCAATGGTCACAGCTACAGGCTACTGTTAGCTATTGATTGTGATGTTTCATAGACCCATACAGCCCTTGAAGATAAAGGAAAACTGGATTATTTAGCATCAAATGACAGCATTTGGCCCATTTTACTGTTACAGCATCCTCAAGTGAGGTACAATGAAATTGGGGGCTCGTCCGGGATACAATGATTGGGAATAGGGTTCATTCTACATCAGGAATATGAAGACTTACCTCAGAATCAGGTCTCAGGCTACGCAGGTAGCTTTTCAGATCTCCGTGTGTCATCAGTTCCATGACGACCAATGTCGGTTGCCCCTTAGATACCACACCGAGTAAGCGGACCTAGGCGAACACGTTGAACATTTAGACAAGGTTGTTTTTGCCTTGATTATTTTGGTTCTCCAGGTTATCCACACTCACCACGTGATGGCAGCTAAAGGCTTTCATGACCGAAGCCTCGTTGAGGAACTCAATCCTCTCGCGCAGGCTCGTCGACTCGTTGACGGTTTTAACGGCCACTCGCATCTCCGGTTCGCCCTTCACGATGTCTTTAGCGATGCCTTCGTACACCATTCCAAACGATCCCTGACCGAGCTCTCTCAGAACACTGATCTTCTCCCGAGGCACCTCCCATTCGTCTGGGATGTACACTACAAATACACAAATTCAATAATTATAATTTATTTTTTACCTTTCAACAAAAAAAAAAAAGCAAATCGAAAGCTATAAAATAAAACAAAAGGGGTAAATATTAGCTAAAATAAGCACAAGGGTATTGACAATAACACACAATCTTCACAATCGTTCACAATCTTTCATTATCAATTTAATGAAGTGGATTACATCTATAATATCTTACCATCATTTGCACTTATATATTCTGGGTTCGAGGACGCAATCAGTGGACCAGTCGGTCCTTCAGTTTGTCTGAGGGAAAATATATTTATAAATGAGAGCATGGTCTAGATGATAAATAAGGACTTTATTTAAGAGTGTCTAACACATACTTCTTCCTAAGGACAATGAAGACTGTACTGGCCAGGAACAGCAGTACAATGAAGCAGATAAGCGGGCCGATGATGACTTTCATGTTCATATCCACTGAAAAACATGCATATTAGAGACCATAGTGGCCAAAATAACAGTAAAAAAAAGTAATAAATACAGTGAAGCTTACTGTCTTGAACAAAGAAGTATGCAGGCTCCGTCCAGGAGCCGTTGCTGGCCAGCGAAGTGGCACGTATTCTCACACTGTAATTCCCAGGATGCCCTACTCGTAATCGATAGCCGTAAATTTTTTCATAAGCGATTCTGGACACACAGATTTGATCCTCCTGAGGAAAAAATAAAGAAAAATATATACACCTTCTTGAACAAATGCATTTTAAAAATATATAATTGTATAATATTTTAAATACAAATACTTTAAAATGCATACATATTTAAATACATTAAGTACTAAATATATTTTAAGTTTTTAAATACCTAAAAATATTTATTTTCCAAAAATATAAATGACTAAATATTTAATTATTGTATACGTTTTGGTCTATTTTTTAATATCTAAAAATATAAATGTTTAAATAAAGAAAGATATTTATTCAACAATATATAGATAAAATACAGAAAAATTATAATATAAAAGATAAAATATACACATATTAATATGTGCAAATTTCTTAGAATTAATTGAACACCTACATCGTTATCTGACATTCTCATGTATTTGACTTCATACAGTATGATCATGCCATTGGGTGCTTTCGGCTCCTGCCATTTGATGTAGACAAATTCCGGTTCATCGGGAAAAAATTCGTGAGTCACTTGCCCAACGATCTTGTCAGCTTTTACTAAGAACACAAACGGAAGATGACACATTAGAACATGAATCCAAACCAAAACAACAGAAAAGAGTGGCCCGGCGGTCTTACGTTCAGGCAGGGTGCGGGCGTTGACGTATGTCGGCATGCTGCAGCGGTTCGGATCCGTGGGATGGTTGCAGGCCTGGATCTCGATCTGGTAGCTGGTGAAGTGGACCAGGTTGGAGATGACCATGAACTCTTTGGAGTTGGTTTTGAATACCATCTTCTGTCTCTCGTCCTTCTCTGGGTTTGACGTGGTGGAAAAGTTGGGCAGGCTGGATAATGTGCTTGCAAAATTAGGCAAAGAAGCATTGGCCACGCCAACTGAGCGCCGCCGTCGGTGGGGTCTGCGGGTTAACAGTGAAGACTACGTTTCAGTCGTAGCCATTGGACCAAAATAAACACCCAATGATTTTAGTTCTAATGCCACATAAAGAAGAGCAGATAAATGTAAGTAATGCTTTATTTATAACTTCTGCCAGAGAATAATGGGAAATGTTTAGCAACGATGTCTGTCTTTGATAAGTAGTAGTAAGAAATATATGCATTAATATTCATTTCATTGCAAGATTTATTTATTTTTTCTCTGCTAAAATAAAAAAAAATTGATGTAAACGTTATATTTGCATTCAAGTTTTTTTTTTTGATGATTTCTTTGAGTAACTGCATAAAGATGGCAAATTTTATTTCCAAGATTGTGAGTGTGTGTGTGTGTGTGTGTGTGTATATATATATATTTTTTTATACAACAGTTCGTTCTGGTTCTCAAATCTGATTGGTTGAGAACTGTGAGATATTGTACTGGTATCGCTACAGGAACGCCCTTTCACAATTTTGTATCTATCCGCTTGTTCTAGCCGGGTCTATGTTTTTTTTTTAAATTATTCACTGAGCTAATCGTAGAGTACGTTAGTTAATATAAGAAGAAACGACTAGCTTCGCGGTCTCTCTCTCATTCAGATGCACATCTTGCCGCATTGTTTCTCTCTTATAACCTCATTATTTCTCACTAATAACCTAACTGAAGCAGCACATGCCCTTGATACGAATTCTAAAAGTGACGTATGTTTAACTGTCAACTTGAGCTTTGAATCCGTGGCGGAAGGAAGTAGTTCCGCACAAAAGAGGGTTCAGCGATACCAGCTCTATATCAGCTGCTGTGATTGCCTCTGGCCTAATCACAGCCATGCTGATATAGAGCCGGTATCGCTCGAGTACTCGAGTGATATTGCTCATATATATAATTTTAATAATTAATAACATTCCAAGTTTTTTGTTTTTATATTTTGATGTAAAACTGAAGCATGTAAAAATTCTTCTGTCTAATGTGAATATATTATTTGTATTTTATTTCCAAGATTATATATTTATATTTTAAAGTAAAATTAGAGACTATAAAACATTAATTAAAAAATCATGTAAATGTGTTATACATTTGATTCCAGTGCTTTGAAAATTGTTGTCATCTGACTGTCTTTGATTAATTGGATAAAGATGCCGCATTTTCTTTCCAGAATTTCGATTTCATTTATACTTAACTTTTTCATTTACTATAATACATAAGTATAAAATACAATATAAATAAAAACTAGTACCAAACCAAATAAAATAAACAATCTTGGACTGATTAAGCTGCAGTGTGGCCGATGCAAAGCAATTAACCTATTAACCAGAAGATGGCGCTATAGACCCTTGATGTTCAACAGCTCAGAACCCATTTAATATTAGAGCGATCTATTGACTGGAGATATACATTTAACTAATCCAATTGAAATAAAAACTAAACTGAAATAAATTAAACCTAAATAGTAATATTACAAAAAATGATAAAAACGACACAAGGACATAAAATTATTAAAAATGTAGCTAAAATGAACTGAAATGAAAATAATAAAATAAAATATAGCTGCAAGCAGCGATGGCGGTCCCAAGCCGTCAGTGCAAAATTATATGTATAATTAATGTTTTATATATATATATATATATATATATGAATAAAATATGTATGCATGTATGTAAATATAATAATATATTTATTTATTAAAAATGTAAAAAAAAAAATTTTACTATATAAAATTCACTATTTTATAAACAAAATGCTAATTTACATTACAATTACAAAACACAAAACAATTATATGTATATAATTAATGTGTAATGCATATATTTTTTATGTATATGTATATATTATATATTTAGTTTTATTATAATTGCATAATTTACTATTTTATAAATAAATGTACATGAAAATATAATACAATTATACATAGAAAAGTAATATGTGCTTTTATGCATATAAATATATATATATATACATTTTATGCATGTATATCTATACTATTTATATTATAAAATTTACAATAAATTCTATTATAATTGTAATACAATTATAGCCATTATATTTTATTGAAAAAATATGTGTGTATAAAATTAACAAGCTTTTTTCCCCCAAACCTGTATTATACGTTTGATCGTATAATATACACACCACCAAATATACATTTACAGTTTTTGAGGCGAGAATGTAGCTGTTTAAACTTCAAATATGCAGTTTATTTTAAATTATTCTAAAATTTGGTTTGACGACAGAGAAATGTTATTTTTTCCCATACAATGGAAGCCAATAGGGACCATCAACTGTTTGGTGACCAACATTCTTCAAAATATCTTCTTTTGTGTTCAACAAAATCAAGAAACTCATACTGGTATGGAACAATATGAAGAGTACATGATGATATGACTTTTATTTTTAGGTAAACTGTCCCTTTAAGAACCAAATAATGAAAAAAAGCTTCTGCTGTACGTTTCTGAACGGCTGTGACTTACGGGTGGCGTTGGTGCGGACGTAGATGATCTCGCTCTTGGCCCCGCGGACGAGGTGATCGTCAGAGGCGGCGAGTTGGGTTTTGACCATGATGGCGTACTGGGTCCAGGGCTTCAGAGGCATGATGAGGAGACCCGGCTCGCTCTGGCCTTTGCCCTCGGAGCCGCGTTCAGGAGGCTCCACGTCTGCGATCGCCCAGCTGTTAGAGCCGCAGGCATCCTGCCCGTCGTATTCAGTCACGTTCTTATAAGGACTGAACAGGAAGAGACAATGTTACACAGTACTTCAATGCTTTCATAGATGATCTCATTCACACACGTAGGTTTTTAACTGTTTTAACTTATTTAAATGTTACAGCAGATTAGCAATATATTAAAAAGCTGATAAAAATGAAAACAATTAACAATTAATTTATTATTAATTAATTATACTATACAGACATATATACACATTTATACACACACACACACACACACACATATATATATATATATATACATATACATATACATGAGAAGTGTTAGAAATGATAAAATTCAACATTTTATGTGATTTTATTTATTACATTTATTATGTTTATTAATTAATTGTTCAGGTTGTAAATGACATTCTTTCAATGTTTGAAACAATTATTATAATATATATTTGATAGTTTTACTAACCAATCATAATTATGATCAAAACACAGTGTTTTAATTATTTCAAGTTTAACATAATTGCAAAAATGACTAGGATATGGAACAAGTTGAACTTGAACTAATTCTAATTAAATATAATAATTAGTGCTGTCAAACGATTAATCGCATAAAAAATAAAAGTTTTTGTTTACATAATATATGTGTGTATACTGTGTATATTTATTATGTATATATAAAGACACACAGATACAGTATATATTTTGAAAATATGTACATGTATTTACATGTTTATGTTTATATTCATAACATTTATATTATAAATAAATATATTTAATATATAAACATAACATATTTTTCTGAAATATATACATGCATGTGTGAGTATTTATATATACATAATAAATATAAACAGCATACATATATCATGTAAACAAAAACTTTTATTTTGGATGCGATTAATCGCGATTAATCGTTTGACAGCACTAGTAATAATATATAATCGACTTTTACGATGATACTATTTAAAATTTTTAATGCTCTCTACTTTAAAGCAGTTTTAAAAAGACGTAAAAAAGGGTAGGAAATAGAAAAAGTTTTATTAATGAATTATATATAAGTATTTTACGGCTTTTAAGTTCTAAATAATTAAAAAAATAAAAACAAGCAAGACAGAACAATATAATATTAATTAGTTATATGTTAATAGTAATAAAAAAGTAAAGAAAAATAAAACTAACTGGTCATATAATTAGTCATAGCTAACTAGTCCAAATATACAAACAAAATAATGCTAAACAAGCAAGACATAGAACAACATTTATATTAATTAAACAAAAATGTAAAATAGTATGTTAATAGTAGTATTAAAAAAGTAAATAAAATAAAAGGTTTAAGTAGTCATAATCCAAGCATACACACAAAAGAAAACTATTTAAACAAGCAGGTCACAGAACATTTATATTAAGTATAGTTAAATAAATAGCAGAAATTATTTTTCAATATTAGTATTAAAATACAAGTGAAAACAAAAATAAAACTAATCATCACACGCACAAAATAATACTATGTACAAGTAAAATAAATAAAAATTACAATTAAACTGAAATTAATAAATCAAAATACAACCTCAATTAAAAATAAATAAATCAGCAAATAAAATGTTATTTTTCAAAACAGTAATAACATATGAAAATATTAAAGCAATCGTAACACTCACGCTTCCTTGTAGAAGACCATGAATCCCAGCAGGTCTCTGAAGTCCGAGGGCCAGAACGCTTGCCACTTAATGAGGATTTTGTCGGACGTCGTACGGATTTGCGTAAAATTAAGAACTTGGTTTTCACCTGGAAGAGAGGACTGATAATCAGATCTGGTTTAACGTAAAACTCAAGCTGCGCTGAAACCAAAGTGCAGCGGGTCTTACAGAAGGCCAGGTCCGCATACGCCGGGATGTTGATGTCGTTCTTCCTGTGCTTGGTCCCGGTCACTTCCTCCATCCGGAGGATCTCAGACTTACAGAGCTTGGAGTTGTAGCCGAAGTACATCCTGCCGTTGAGGACGGTGAGGTTGTGTTTGTTCCAGTCCCACAGCTGTCGCAGGTTCTGGTTGTCAAAGGCATTGAAAGAAAAGTTCCTGCGAAGATCAGAAACAACAAAGTAAGCAAGCTGTAAGCTCAGCGCTAGAGCTCGGTGGCGGCGGCGGCATCTTACGTACTCGTTCTCCAGCGTTTCTCCGTGAATGACGCGGAGCTTGCGGAGGAAGGAGAGCGAGACGAGAGCGTAGGCTCTGCGGATGCTCAGATAGCCCGTGATCTCCTCCAGCTGACCCAGACTAGACTCCAGCTCGGCCGCGATATTGTCTGAGGAACACAAGATGTGTCTTCATATGCGCCAGGGACTTCACATACTTCATTTCACGCATACACATACTGGTACTTATTACTGTATGTGCTAAAAAGATATTACATGACTATTTGAAATACTGATTGGTCAAGCATAGCACTCAGATATTTCAAATAGTTTTATATAATGATGCTCAACGGAATAATTTACTTATTATTTAATACTTTTTTATTTTCAAAAATATATCATTTTATACCCATTTTAATTATTTGGGTTCATTTGACATTTCATTTGTATAATTATTTATATTTAATTCATTTAAAATGTTATATGTTATTAATGTAAATGTTTTTTTGTTTGTTTAAATGAACAATTTACTTTTGTATTTATGATATTGTTTACTATTTTTATGTTTATAAATATAGAGAATAGCATTTATACTTGTATACATTTATAAAATTAATATTTACATAATTTATAAACTGAACAATAATTAATTAAGAACAATGCATGTAAAAAACAATAATTAATTAATAACAATTAATGTAAAAAAGCTTTTAAATAAAAATGTCATGCTTTCTAATACTTCTCATTATATGCATGTATATACATCAAATAAATATTTTATTTTATAGCTATTCTATGTATTTGGGTTCATATTCTGTTGTCTACTTATATAATTTATTATATATAAATATATTTTATATACAAATATAACATTTTTCTTAAATATATACATGCATGTGTGTGTGTATATATACGATTAATCACTTGACAACACTAAAATGTCGTTTTTAATAAACAACGCTTACAGTTCAAAAAGTTTGCACAATAATTTTTTTTTATTGTTTGTTAAATAAAACATTACCATTCTTAGAATTTTGAAAACGAACAAAAAAGGCAAAATAAATATTACATAGAAGTGTTTTAAATATTACAAAATATGAAAAATGACTATGCATGTAAATACAATATCTACAATATCTATAATTTATCATCTGTAATTTAACATTTTAATCATTTTAATATATTTCTAATTTTAAATATATTTTTAATAAATATATACAATATTTTAATGTTATTTAAAATAAAAATAATTTTATGAGTTTAATGGATGGACTCATTTAATATTTATATTTGCGGTTGTCTAATTATTAATATTTAATTGATTTAAAATTCTATATTATGTTATTAATATAAATGTGTTTTTAAATGATGTTCAACTAATAATTAACTTATGTATTTCTATTAGTGTTTACTATTTTATTTAATTTTTTATAGATATATAAAAGTATACATTTTATTTTCTATTTATAATAAATCTGTGTCATTTATTTAAAATGTTATATTATATTATGTGCTATTTTGTATTTTAATAACAAGTAAATCTTACAGAAAGGAAAAAAGTTTACATAACTTGCACAATAACCATTTTATGCATCTATATAAATAAAAAAATGACAATTCTTAACATTCTGAAATAATATTACTTAACAATATTAATATTTAAAATACTACCTTAAAAAAAAGACAACATGCACGTAAATACAATCAATATGCTTGCATTTCGAATGCAAAATACTCACTTCCTTTGCTGATCTTGATGGTCAGACTGCCGTTGAGCACCGTACAGCCGCGCAGAGCTTGAGCGGCGGTGACAGAGTCCACCGTCTTCACCCCCGTACACAGTTTGGGACACCGACCGGTGCACGGTGTGCAGTTCAACCTGAATGAACGACAGCGACGGGTTTGAATCAAGACCGAAGCCTCAAGACGCTCAAAGCCAATAAGCATTGCTTTACGCATGCATTCGCCATGATGTCAGCAGCTGGCAGCGCTTTTCGAGACTGCGATTGCCTCGGGGACAAACATATTGTTCCCTGCCCGCTGAAGTCTCATGTCACCTGCGCGGTTGTCATTGTTGTGTTTGGAACGAGCCCAAACGCGCTAGAATAGATTGTGTGCTGCAATGCAGCAGTGCATCTGAATGGAAAGGGTCAGCAAGGGCACAATCCCCACTGAGACTCAACTAAATACCACAAATAGTTGCGTTGGCTTTGAAGTACGTGACCTCCGCATGCATCCCGTATGAAGACCCGACTCTGGAGACGAGGCCTTTTGATGCAAGAATCAGCAATTGTGCTGAAAGATGCTGTGGAACGATCTAATCGTGGAACGGGAATGTAATGAATCCCTGCGGCGCAGAGCGTTTGTATAATTCTGTTGCTTAATTTGATCACTTTTTAACAAAACGAGAGAGTAACGTTACGTAATCGCGCTTGAATCTTGCTGAAATGTTGCAGGAGTGGGTGGGAGGGGAATACGCAGCTATTTTTCTAAATTCATTTAGAGTTTCAACATTGAGATTTCAGCTTTCTTTCTTCTCTGATTCCACTAAAAACAAGTCAAAAACTGTAAGGAAAAAAAGAAAATAAGCGTCTTAAACTACACATTGTCATTTGATTCATAAGTTGTTAACGGTATGTGATTGATTCTCTCACATTCGTAATAGTTGTTTGTTCGGGAATCTGATTCAGTGGTCGCGCTGTATGTTTTTGATTGACTACAAAGAATCAGCTGTTGAATAACTTGTTTGAATCATATTAAACTGGTACAAAAACACTTCACAACATCACGCATTTCAGGAATTAATTTAATTGAAAACCCACAGAAATGCTCAGCAGTTCATTCTCAATGACCGTTTTCTCTCTTAGATTTTTAAGCTCATAAACTCACTCTTTAACTCCCTTTTTCCAGTTTTGGAGATCCAAGCCACGCAGATTCGTTTCAAATGCACACCGACGCCGTGAACCCTCGGTTTTTAGATTTTAAGCCCTTCGAACGACATTCACGTGCCGCTGAATTTTCGTTCACACTGCTTTGTCTTCTCCTTCGGAAAATAACAGGGAGGGAAGGATGGGGCGCCCAGTTACGAAACGGGACTCACTGCCGCATGACTGCCTCTCACAAAGGTGAAAGGTGGCCGGACGAGAAAAACAAACCAATGAAGTCACTTCAAAACAAAATTCCTGGAAAACCGAGATCCCATCAAGCTTCCACAACTGCAACGCTCCGACGTGGAGACAAAGGAATCAAAAGGCCAGTGAAACGGCCACCTTTTTAAAGCCCCCGAGACCCCAGCGAATGCAAACAAAGGCTGCCATTGTTCCCGCGAGGCTGCGTTTTACTCCCGTTCGCAGGGTTAATTCTCTGTTTATTTGTACGTTAATAATTCCCACACATGAAGCTGGACGTGCAAACCAGCATGTGCGCAAGCTTCCGGACATTCCCAGGCAGCCAAACGGACACGGGCTCAAAAAAAGGGCCGCTAGTGTCGCTTTCTGTCACGGAATGTTGTTTTGGTTTGGCTCATTATACTTCCACTTAGCTTGACAAATTCAGCCCGACTGCAAATGACTCGGTTGGAATAATCAGGGTGGCATTTTATCACGCTCTCAACACTTGACACCGGCCATTATAATCTGCTCATTTTCAATTAGCCGTGACTGACGAAAAGACTAAATGATGTTATGATACTTCCAGAAGAGTTTTCTCTTCTCCCCGGTCAAGTTGAGCGTGACAACCGGTTCGTTAATTTTCGAAACGACCAAAACAAATCACAGCGTTAATCAGAAACTGCTACTTCATGCCTGCAGCACAAGATTCACCCTTTAAACAGTCATTTATATAGAAGGGGGGAAAAAGTCTCACAAAACCTGTCAAGAACAATGTCAAAAGAGAAATTATATTTTTAATAAAGTATATAAAATTGTATTTTAATAATTATATTAAAATAATTTTATAACAATTTAACTTTCATTGTTTATTTTGGATTTATAATTTATTAATTTTAATAAATATATATTTGTTAATGTAATACAGAAATGCAAAAAATTCAAAGTCTTGATTTTCTTTAAGATTATTTTATATAACAATTAAGCGTCATCTTTTTTACGCATTTAAAAATATTCTTAAATATTTAATTTGAATTTATAATGCTAAAACAATTTAGAGGGAAAATGTGTTTCATTTATTCAAATAATTCAAATTAGCACAAAAAACTAAAATATTGCTTAAATTTTAATTTTTCTTTAATATTACTTTTGTATTGTGAAATTTTCATGACAATTACATGATATTCCCCCTCATTTATACTATCATTCATTACTGTAAAACTATTTAATATTTTAATTCAATCATTGCATTTTAAATTTGATTGAACTGTTTACTGCTAGAAATTCAAAAATGTATGTAGCGAGATTCACCACTGAAAATAAATATTAAAGGGTTACTCCACCCCAAAATGAAAATTTTGTCATTAATCATTTACCCTCATGTCGTTCCAAACCCGTAAAAGCTTCGTTCGTCTTCGGAACACAATTTAAGATATTTTGGATGAAAACCGGGAGGCTTGTGACTGTCCCATTGACTGCCAAGATCCAGAAAAGTATGAAAGACATCGTCAAAATAATCCATCTGCCATCAGTGGTTCAATCTGAATTTTATGAATCTACGAGAATACTTTTTTGCACACAAAGAAAATAAAAATAATGACTTTATTCAACAATTCGTCTCCTCCGCGTCACCGGGCATTATTTTTATTTTCTTTGCGTACAAAAAGTATTCTCGTCGCTTCATAAAATTCAGATTGAACCACTGATGACAGATGGATTATTTTGACGATGTCTTTCATACTTTTCTGGGTCTTGACAGTGTTATTTACTTGGCAGTCAATGGGACAGTCACAAGCCTCCTGGTTTTCATCCAAAATATCTTAAATTGTGTTCCGAAGACGAATGAAGCTTTTACGGGTTTGGAACGACATGGGGGTAAGTGATTAATGACAACATTTTCCTTTTGGGGTGGAGTAACCCTTTAAAAATAATCCTATAAAATAAAATGTATTGTGTAAATAAGACTTGAGAGTTGATGAAAATGTCAATGCAAAAAAACAAAAATATTCCTTTAAAAGAACATTTATTTCTTTTTCTTGTGATTTCATGGTGAAATGTGGCCTGTGACCTTTTGAGACTCACTTCCAAATGTTAGACTGATTTTCATTAACATCCCGTGATGCAGTTTATTCCCTGTCATGAAAAAACAACAAAACAAAACAAACAAACATAACGTCTTGGCCCTTTAATTAAACTTTGTGATTTGTCGTCTAACTCATTCTGCCGCTGTTTTTAGTCAACTCATGTTTAACGTGGAGCGAAATCTGATTAGAGTTGATTGGAAAGTGTAATACTGTTTAACGGCAGCTGTCTGGCTGCTGTAGTTGCATTTATTTAAAAAACAAAATGTGGTACGTACGAGGTGGAGTTCATGGTGGTGTATCCAGACGGGCATTCTGGGACACAGGCTCCGTTGTGGATGACGTATTCATGGCAGTCACCGCTCTTGCCCTTGCACTGGTTGTGGAGGTCCTGGCAGAATTTAAAGGACACACAGCGCCATCCCTTGAAGATGTAGTAGCCCGGCGGGCAGCGCTCCACGCAGGTGTCACCGAACAGGAAGTTGCGACAAGCCACGCATTTGGTCGAGTTCCCTGGCACGGAGCAGCCGCCCAGACACTGGTCGTGACAGCACTCCTTATGGAGGGTACAAGCACCGTGGACGCATTCGGAAGGGCAAACTGTGAGGGGAAAAAGAGTGAGAAAATAACTTGTTAGATTCATTTTCTTTAACGCAGCAAACTACAGGTAAAAAACTTTGTTTTGTTTTGACACACTGGTCAATTTTGAGATCCTTATTCATAACATGTTTCAGACTAGTGGAAGGAAAACATCTAAAATGCCCTTTTATTTTTATTTTTTTTACAGTTTATCTGTAGATTTCAATTCAACTTTTGTATTTTTTCACAATACAAAAGTTTTTTCTCCACTTCAACAGCACTCACGTACACCAAGACTTAAGAGTTTTATTCTTGTTTATATTCTGAAGGATTTTACTGAGGGGTTTGCTCATATAACATTCGCCTGGTTTTTCAGAACATTTTATTCCTAAAAACATGGTTAAAATGCTAATTTTTTCGGCTGTTGACAGTATTTCCTGATTTATGGAGAGATAAAAAGAGATATCCAAAATCCCCTCTATAAAAACCTTCGACTCTAATATAATTAAACAAGAATTTTTAAACCCAGCTTTATCCAATGTTCTGGAACATTCTGTAAGAGTACATTTAGAAACTCTGAGAACTAGAGAATGCTGTGCTTGTATATTTAAACATAACAGAAAGCTTATAAAACAAAAAATATTTGCAATTCTTAATCTATTCAATCAACTGGGGAAGCACGCACAAAAAAAAAAGGTGTAGAAAAATTTTTACGCAGAAATTTTGAGTAAATTTCACAATTACAAAGGAACGACAAGTAACACATTGAATTAAACATGACATTTTGAAGTAGAAAGCCCGAAATAGCATTTTTTTGTGAAATGTACTCCAACAATCTTTTTTTATTTACAACTTCAAAACAGAAAATATAATTAAATTATAGCAGGTGCTATGCTGTGCCAAATGTGAATATTCACAATAATTTTCGTCGAGCTAAATTTTTTAAAATCTGATTTAAAAAAGAGTGATAAATAAATCAAAAAGTCTCTGTTATTTTTACATTTTATTTTAATATAAAAATAACACTTTTAATTAATAGTTTATTAAATAAATTGTATATTTGGGCAATAATATTAAATATTAGTAGACAAAATTAGTACATAATTAGCACATAATATAAATGAACATTTGTTATTCAATTCAACATCAATTTCTGAATATTACTAAGAATCATTATATAGCTGCCTAAAAATAAAGAAAAATAAAAAAATGTACAGTGTGGTGATGTCCATTAGTTACATTTTTACCCTATTCACCTGAGGTGCTAACATTATTTCTTGTTTTTCAGTTGGCACCGGTATCGTAAAAAACCCAATCGATACCCAACCCTTTTTATACATGCCACAATTTTTCACTGAATCCCGATCCACTCAAAACTCCAGTCCAGGGTTCCGCAGCAACCTCAGATCCGCCCTCACCCTTAACCAATGTTTTTGCTGTCTGTGGAATCAGCCATTCAACTGCCTCTTCCAACAGAGAGAGATATCCGCCCAGCATTAACCCCCGACGCGCCGGCAGACAGGCGACAGATGGATGCAGCGGGAACGGCAGAATACACGAGGACAGGCAGGAGCGAGCATGCAGACGGGCGCAGCCTCCACTCTCGCAGCATTCCTCACATACGCCAGCGATTGCAGGACGGCGTAACCCTGCACAAAACACCCCACCCCTCCACGACAGTCTCCGCGGCGTCTCCCCAAGGATGATCCCTGTGTAAACACACACATCTTCTCTCTGCGGCCTTTGTAGTCCCTCCTGCTTTCATTCATAAGCATTGTGTGGGTTTTGATGCCTGATTTGTAGTTCTTTTATGGATATCAAAATGATTGCATTAACATTTACACTATTAAGACGTATTACACTATTAACGTATTTATTAAATTTAGCATTATAATTTAATTCTGCAACCAGAATCGTGTCCTTCCTGCAAATATAGATCAGTAAACTTGATGTCAACAAACTTGGGATGTGTATGAATAATCGATTGCAATACCTTGTCTGATTAATTTTATCTATTTATTTTTTTATGACAAACTCTTAAAGCAGGTGCTACGCTGGGCGAAATATGAATACTCACAAAAATGTTGCTAGCGATGTAAAATTTGAATCTTATTTAAAAAAGAAGGATAAATAAAAACGGAAGTTATAATATTACTAGTAAATAAAAATTATTATTAATTGTATAAATTAATGTTATATTGAGTTTGACATTCTGTGTATTACTAGGTATCGTTATATAGTAGCCTATAAATAAAAATGTAAATAAATAAACAAATAAAATATAATACAATTATAGCAGGTGCTATGCTGTGCCAAATGTGAATATTCCCAGTAATTTTGGTAGTTATATAAAATTTGAATCTGGTATAAAAAATAATAAATTAAATAAAGGTCTCTGGGTGTCATTTTTCAATTATATTTTAATATGAAAATAATTTTAATTAAGTTTATTAAAGATATTGTATATTTGGGCAATAATAGTTAATATTAGTAAAGAAAATTATATATAATTGACAACATAAATGAATATATGGTATTCAATTCAACATTAATTTCTGCGTATTACTAGGAATTGTGTATAGCTGGCTATAAATTAAAATGCAAATAAATAAATAAATAAAATACTTAACTAATTATAGCAGGTGTAATGCTATAAATATCCCTAATAAGTTTAGTAAAGATATAAAATTTGAATCACATTTTAAAAAGAATGATGAATAAATAAGTGGTTTTAATTATATAATAAAATAAAATATACGAATATAAATAATGTAAAAAAAATTATAATATTGCTGTTAATAATATGTAATATTAGTAAAAAAAAAACATATTTACAGAATTATATATTTTATAATTATTAGTATAAATAAATAGTTATACTAATAACTATTTTTTTCACTAAATAAATGGGATAAAAAGACTATTTGGTCAAAAACCCCTTTAAAGGCAGTGCAAATGCAAACATATAAAGACTGATTATAATCAAAAGGTTAAAAAACATCAAGACATAATTGTTTTTGCCATATCGCAGAGCCCTAGTGACATGTGAGCGCAACACGACCCATAAACACGCTTCTCTATATTCACTCTGAGGTCACGGGTCAGCAGCATTCACAGAAAACTCATGCAGATTCCCCATAAAAACACGCTAATGCATTCACACGTTCGCGCTGGAGCGCTTGGACGGCGTTTTACTATATTTGGCGGCGCTCGCATGTCTCAGGCCTCAAAAGATTTACTGTAAACTCTACTGATCATTTGTTCAGAGGCGTGCGGCTTACAAGAGCGGAGGCAGAGCGAGGAAGTCGGGGGAGGGGAGGCTAGAAATGTAAACAAAACAAACCCGTAAATAGGGGAGGGAAGAAAACCTTGAGGCGCTCGCTTAGGAGGAAAGGAAAGGAAAGGAAAGAAAGCACTGGAATGCGGCCGAAGGTATGAAAGCACCTAGTTTATGCAACCTTGCCCTGGAAAACACACAGAAATGTGACAAACACACTGGCCGGGTGACCCGTCATTTAAGGTTCATCGGTCCAAGAACTCGACAAAAAAAAAAAAAAGCTTCAGAAGTGTCATCCAGGCCGCTGATATCACCAGATTACGCAAGGCAGGTGAACAGGAAGGGCAAAGGTGATTCGCTCTCAGGCCGCCGTAAATTCCAAGGAGTTGACAAGCAAAAACGAATGCTAATTTCACGTTTGCTAATTTCATAGGGAAGCCTTTGAAGAATTAAGCCTCTGAGAGAACACTTAAAATAATTTGTTTAATCGGTCAGAAGATGTTGTTTTTGTGTTTTACGGGTGCAAGTGTGCACACTTCACCACTGGAGTGAGCCGTGGACCTGCTTGGGCAAGTTGTGGGAGTGTCTGTCATGAACGTCCGTCACTTAGCCATAATGAAATGCCACAACATTGCTCTTGTCTTTTTTTGGAACAAAATTAGAATCATTTGAGTGAAAGGAATTGGATTCACATGGATTATTATTATTATTCATTTGGAGTCTTGGTTGGTTGGTGCTTATTTTGAGATCCCCTCGTTGGGTGGCAAGTTTTGTGAAAAAGTATTGTAAAACAATACAGGATGAGCAATTTTCACGTTTGCAGTGTGCAATCTTCAAAAATTGGTACTTCTAAGGTAAAAACGAAATAGTTTGTCTCAAAAATGTTGGTTAGCACTAAAATTCAGTTCCTCTCGTCACTCATTTTTTTTTATTAAAAAAATGGAGGTTACAATGAGAAATTAACAATGGAAGCGAATGTGGCCAAGATATAACCAATGAGTTAACATGGTTTCAGTAAAAAACAAACAAACAAACAAACAAACCACTCTTGTAGCAGATGTTTAGTTGGGCCAAATGAATATTCACCATAATTTCAATAAAATATTTTCATATTATTTTTGGTCAATAATATTTAATATTAGTAATTAATAACTTCAATACAATTAAATTAAATTAAATATAAATAAGTACATATTTTGTATCAATTACACCATAAAGTCCAAAACAACTATACAAAATTATGATTTAAACAGTATTATGGCTAAAAACAATACACTATTTTAACAGAAAATAAATTTAAGTGCTTTCAAAAAAGAATAAACTTCACGTTTGTTATATCCTCAAAAATTCTCCTTTAAGAGTAATTTTACTCAAGGAGCCTACATCCCGCATATAATGCACAAGGAAGTGTTTTGAGATACATTTCTCGAAATTACAATTGGGTTTTTCCCTCCATATTTGGTATAAACAATCACTGACCAATTTTAAATGTCTAACTATCCTTCACGCTCAAACTGCTGAACAATTAACTCACCAATGTAGACTTTAACACACTAACCAAACGCATGACTGTTACAAAATGGACTCACTTTTTCAAGAGAAGTTGAAATAAATGAGAAGATTAGCATCTCTACACACCCAAAGTGACAACATTGGATTAGGCCAATTAAAAAAAAAAACATCAGTATAATAACGGTTGACACCTGCTATACACATTCAAGGGTCATTCTTGGCCCTAAGCTTC